GAGAGAGAGAGAGAATCATGCTCAGTTGTGTGATGTATGGGAAGCCAAGGATCTTCTAAGTGATGAAAAGGACTCGAATGGACAATGCAGTGTCAACAAAGCAAGCAATGTACATCCAGATACATATGAAAATAGCACAATGTAGCGCAGTGGCAGACTCAAAGATATGACCTGGCCTGTCGGATACGGATGCGACACCCCATCATACACCACACCTGTGAGAGAGAGAGGAGGGACCGCATACGTAGATGAAAGGTCCCTCCTTGATCACACCCATGGGGAGATACCACGGATGAGGATATGGGGGGGAGAGGTGAGACGAAGCTGGAGACGAGGGAGAAGAACAAGATCCCGATAGCGAAGTCCAAAAATAGTCTCCCTGTCGAAAGATGGAGACGAGGGCTTTGGGTGTAATTTAATACGGGTGGGGGGTGGGGTTAATAGGAGGGGGTTGGGTTTTATTTAATACGGGTGGGGGGTGGGGTTAATAACAGCGTTTTATTTAATAAGGGTTGGGGGGAGGTGGTAGGGGGGTGGAATGGGGGGCTTTGGGTTTTATTTTATGTGGGTGGGGGGTGGGGTTGGGTTATTTTTTAATATAGGTGGTGGGGTTAATAGGTGCGGTTAATAGGTGGGGTTAATAGGAGGGGGTTGGGTTTTATTTAATACGGGTGGGGGGTGGGGTTAATAACAGCGTTTTATTTAATAAGGGTTGGGGCTGTCTCTTATACACATCTAGATGTGTATAAGAGACAGGTGCAGGCCCATTCGCGCGAGGGGTTAAGTGCCAAAACTTTTGGCGTGCCAAAGAGGAAGCCCGTTCTTTTTCGTTTTTTCTCTTATACCCTAAAGGAAAAAGCGGTCCGTGCGTGACGCTCACGCTGGGCCCAACGAGAATCGAGCAGGGAGGCTCGCGCGCGGTGCTGCAGGGGACCAAGGAGGTCGCGACGTTTGGGGAGGCCGGTAGCCAGCTGTCGCAGGGTCCCGTCGGAGTGGGCCGGTAACGTGGCGGGCTAGTCGGGTGGACCGTCGGGAGTCGGTCGGCAGTGGGGCGGGGCGGCTGGGTGGACCGAGGGCGGAGCGGGCCGATAGCGTGGTGGGGCGGTTGGGTGGACCGCGGGTGGATCGGCC